ATCAAGGCTGTCCATTCAAACTAACGCATCTATGCGAAGTCTTATGCAGAGTTTTCATTTGAATTGACGACAGCTACAGATATCCAACAGGGTTGCGAGCTATCATTGTTCTTTATAGATGTATTAATGGATATTACCTTAGGTACCTCTGTGTTCACAGGGATTGATCTATTCCTCTGGAGGTCATCAAGTTGACTTAAAGTATGCAGACGATAAACCCCTGATAGGTGAAGACGTTGACAAACTGCTGGGTCTTCCGAACGCACTGCGCATAAAACTGAGTATGTTTGGCATGAATTTTACACCTGTCAAATGTAAGATGATGCTTCAAGACTCATCTACAACTACTCCTAGTTTGAGGATAGGGAGTTAAGCAGGGAGTTGGACCAGCCCAAAAAAGCTAGTTGCAGACGAAATTCCAGCTCGGATAAAGAAGGCTCTTTTGGCATCTGACATCATTTGTGTCGGCGACTGGCAAGATATCCGACTACCCATCAAAGGACGAGTATATGGAGCTGTAGTCTATTTTGTCCTAGTGTACGACTGAGGGACATGGCAGTTAAAAGTAGGAGACAGGAAGCGATTACAAGGTTTTGATCACGTGTGTCTTCGCAGCACTGCTCGCGTTTGGTGGGATTACTGTGTGAGCAGAGCTGAGGTCAGGTGAAAGATACTAGGCAAGAAAGGTAAGTTAATTGATGATGTTGTAAACTTTCATCGACGAGGTGACTTGGACATGTATTTCTCATGCCGAGCCACTGCCTAACTCGACACCTCCTGCTACGAGAAGCTAGATTAGGTTAGAAGAGGGTTCACAGTGACCAGACCAAGACGTGACATATGTGAATAAAATTTGTGACTTAACTGCGATACAGCACAGCTCTCAGTCATATTGCTGTCATCATTATTCAGTGAAATTTGAACAGTCATAGCAATACACCCACTTATAGAGCTGATAAGATTCCCTACCATTACGTAATAAAGTTTGAATTACTTTTGACCGCTTCAAATATATATATAAAGGGAGAGAGATAGAGTTAATTAAAGATAAACGAATTTGTTAGTCATAACGGTTTTTGATATTTTTAGTGGATTTGGTTTTAAAATTGACTACATATCCCGTTGGTGGTAATCAGTATATATGAAATCACACAAACAATAAAGAATTCAGTCATTATTTTCATTCCTTTACCAAAAGGAGATTGTTTAGTATTCTCTAAAGTATTATTCAAGTGTCATGGTAACCGTATTGTGATAGCAGTTGGCTTAGTAACTATTTGAACAATATGTTACTAATCTTCTATTCACGTATATTTGGATAAAAGTATCATAATCGAGTATTAGGTTAATTACTTTACTCAGTAATTAGTTGATGCTACGATTTGCGCTTCTAATGTTTAAGTTCATGTGAACTTATATTCTATTTCTGATACTCAGAAATATACTCTGGATTACGTTTCAATTCCTATTCCTAGTAATTTTAACTTTTGATTGCTAGATACATAGCCTTATGTAACTTCTTAACAAATAAACGAGCTTTCTGTCACTAACACATAAGAAACCAGATATAAAAAATTGATTAAAATTGCACTCATACACAGAAAATATGAAAAGATTTAGCATACACGGATAAAATAACACAACCATATGTAGGATAGCATATGAATTCATTCTTACAACCCTTACTTTCATCTAAATTTATTCGCTTGATATTTGTTTATTGCAAGTTTTTTTACGCCAGGATTAAGACATTATGTAAATCGTCAAGTAATAATATTTATGATTGAAAGTGGATGAATTTTAACAAGAAATAAGGTGGATTAACTGTCCTATTCTACTCGCTTAATGAATATTATTTTCGTGTTAGATATAATGAGTTATAGTTGTACTAAGAATCTCAGGTTTCTACAGCAATACAAAGACGTCTAGCTCATACTTTCTCAGTAGCATGGTGGTTACTTTTGTTTTCCAATGACTTCAGCATCAAGTGATGACGATGGGATGTCAAATTCAATAATAGGGTTGCATTAACAATGAATTTCCCAGAAATTTTTGAGATAGTTTAAATCTGAGTATTCATGATCTTGTAGGGGTGCGTGTTACAATTCCGTAACGTTTGAACAACCCTACTTAACTTGATGTGCTCTGGTACCTGCTTAACCAGTACTTTACCTAACATGTAAGTACTGATAACAAAACACAAATTAAAAGAACTGATATGCAGTGTATTTCAGGGAGCCATGTATTTAATTGAAGTAAATATAATAATAATGAATGGGGAGAAAAGTCTAATCAACTTATCTGGCTTGTAAGGCTGAACTAGGGACTCGGAGTACGTGCGTGGAAATCAGCACAATGAAGCGCAAAATGGCATCCAAGCCTGCTCGGATGCATGCTCGTTAAAACAAAACTTAAAACACCCTAAGCATCCGGAGGCAGGCTAGAGATTTATTTAGTTAATTTAATTTAAACTATTTATTTTAGCCCTATTTATATTTTGGTGCCAGGATGGTGCACTACAATCTCTTCATTAAAATGAAAATACGTAGACAGGCAAAGATTAACTAGATTAAGTAATTCCGATTTTTGATAGAATTATGGGCTTGCAGATGATAGTCAAAAACGAGATATTCAATCGATTAGATCAAGATTAATTACAGTTGCCTAACCAAATTCAAGCAGCTGGATAGTCAATATAGAAGGACACCCACCCAGTAGAAGCCATCGAGACAACAATAGCAAACAATACCCCCTCACCCGGAGCAAATTGAATAATCACTATGAAATACGCTTCTGATGAAGCAAATAATCCAATCAGCATAGGCCACCACCCTACCAAACCCATAGTGCAGAAGACTCAGTCAACAAGATCATGACAACCCTCATCACTTCACCCCAACAGAAATGCCAAAGTCATATTGAAGTTAGTGCTGATGATTTGTTTAGAAAGACAATGAAAATTTCACGATTAAACCACCCAACTCAGAGAACTCAATGCAACCAAGAAATGACAACCAGTCACTTCAATGTAACCCTCATCGTTTCACACAAGGAGAACTAAGCAATCATAACAAATCAGCCTCAGTGTACTGAAGATAACCAAAATAATCCAACAAAAGACGTGATTGCGCACCCATCTGAGAAAGCTCGGTGAAACGTATCAGCCGACTAAGTTCAAAACACATCCACACACTCAACAAACGGACGCCTCGATGGGGCTCAGGCAAAGTAACATTTAACACAACATCAGTTGCTTAACTGTCTTGTGGAACAATGAAGTACTGATCACAATGTCGAACATAAAATAATGACGTTTACCAACCAAAACACTAGGTCAAAGAACAATCTGACAGTTCACATATCCCGAGTTATTAGCATTTTCCACCATTTCAAATGAATGAGCAGTCAAGTTACAGAATAATAAACCATCTAAGATTTCGAGGGGCTCCAGGAAGAACAAATCATGTGAAGATCAAATTGCAGTGCTACACTATCCATCATCATAGAACACAGTATAGAATGCCAGTCAAATATCTACCTCAACTCCATCTCCCTCGAAAAGGCCTTCTGTAGTGTTGACCGAGAAACACATTGGCTACTGCTTCAACACTACGGTTTTAGTGCCACAAATCTTTATCAACCTCATTCAACAGCACCTATATGCTACGTGGTACTACATGCCAAGTGATTCATAATGCAAAGTTCAGTAATGCGTTTGAAGTGAAGAAAGCAGATAGGAGTAAGACAAGGTTGTCTACTGTCACCCATGATCTTCCTGATTGTGGTCGACTCGACTGGATCATGCAACAAACTGTGGGGAATGAGAAGATGGGCATATGCTGTTTGACCTACGAAAAGACTCTAGACAATTCGGATTTCGCCACCGATGATGATTTATGTCTAATGTCTTGGTGCAAAATCTCGAAGATCTACAGGTGAAAACCAACAAGTTGACAGAAGAGGCAAGGTAGCGAAGACGGGACTTCAGGTGAGCGTAGAGAAGACAGAGGTGATGAAGATATCCAACCAACAACAACGACAACAACAACAATGAGGAGGAGGAGGAGGAGGAGGAGCACCACTCACCATCAATGGGATAAATCGGGAGGAAGTTGCCTCTCCCACCTGTCTAGGCAAGGCAGCATCGTTCCAACTGCAGGTGGTGGCGCGGATGAGGACGTCAAAGCCAGGATCGGAAAAGTAAGACAGGCCTTCATCAACGTGAAATCAGTGTGGAGATCTACTGCACTGCACTCAGCATAAGGAACAATATCCGGATTTTCAACACTAATTCATTCAAGTCAGTGCTTTGATATGGTACACCAGGAACCGAAAGGTCAATTAATAAGTATGATAACAATAATAATTATTATAACTGTGAATATGCATAGTAACGGCAATACAAGTAAACAGGAATGTAGTTTTCCTGAATGGTTCTGTTGGTCTTCTGCTTCTGCATTATTGTATATTCTGATAAATTAATTTGGTCTACTCTTGTGCTGTTTATTTAGTGTTCATGTTATTTATGATGTTACTGTTGAAATCTACTGATGAATGTGAATGAATTTTCCCTGTTTATACCGCAGGTTGCATATATATATATATATATATATATATATATATATATATATAAGTTTTTATTCTAGGTTTACCCACAATAGATACACCTGTTTCTGAAAGCCAGTCAGAAGTGCTTTGAAAGCATTAAATCGAATAACGTGACACTTTTATATTTAGCAACACTTAAATACATTACTTTTTTTCTTTGAACTTATGAATGTATTAAGTTTAACATAAATACCAAAAAGGTAAAAATTAGTCATTGAACAGGATTTCAACCAACTCATGATCAGTTAGTGTTGGTTATCAGAAATTTAAGTGCGTCATAACTCATTTCATATGTGTTATAAATAATCTACAAAATAATCCTTTTGAATTATGTTTACGCATAATAATTCTTTCCTTGTATTTCGCTTTTTCTGCTCCCTTCAAACTGATAGATTGTGGTACAGCATTTGACTTTCATCGTACACAGAACCACTTGTTTCTTGTAGCCACAGAGGAAGGAATGGTGTATAAGTGTAGTAAAGCATATACATCACAATACTTAACAGTTTATGAAGCTCATCATATGCCTGTTTATCGTGTAGCCTGGAATCTATTCCATCCAGATATATTTATCACCTGTTCAGCTGATTGGACAGTAAAAATATGGGATCATAAGAAAAGGTAAGTAAAATACTATTTAAAGATGTTTTTATATTGTAAACTGACTGGAATTCGAAAGCTATTTCATTGACTGGTCACTGGTGGATAACCATCTTGTCTGGTCTCATGTTCTCATCGAATTCTATCTATCCATTTTCGGTGTTTTCACTAGGCTAAGAGGCTCAGCATCGCGATGCACTGAGATGGATGTTAGTTAGATGAAAGCAGTTGGTAGGAAACCTTAGACCTACGTATGGTGCTTTGTAGCACTCGTCAGCAAGTCCCATCTGTAACCTCAACGGAAATGATTTCCCGCTTTAGATTCAAACCCACGTCACCCAGTGCTGCAGCTGGAGACGTTACAACTGAGCTATTCGGGCCGCAATTGACCTCCTGTAAGATTGGGCTAGGTACATTGATTGATTACCGGAGGGCAACCAACCTCAGGTTGTCTAGTCCTACATACTGATCATTTTGTAATCTGGCAACTGGTCTAGGAGGCTATTCCGCTCTAACTTTTACAGTAGTCAGCCGTCCATACTTATAATGCCGTTTAAGAGACATATTACAGCGCGCACAAATTTTTTTCGAAATGATCTGCGTTTGCGTAGTGAAATGCTGACCCACTTCAGTTGTGCCAGATCGCAACTAAGTTTTTTTTCAGTATATCATTTCTAGTGTTAAAGCACATCAGGAACATCACTGTTACTAAAATGGAACGAAAACATATTTTCTTTAGTTCCTCTGCATCTTCAGATAGACCCAATAAATAATAAAACAGTAATAATGCCGGAAAATCACATATTTAATACTGCAATCTAACAATGCTAGCTCACCTTCATCACTTTCCAAGCAATGGGTAAATTGGACTGCTTTCACCACTGAATTTTTATATATCAAAAACCTATTGATGTGTTTTGATTGCAGTTCTGTAATTGTATCATCTGCATATTAGAACCTCATCTATGGAGTAGGACTAAATGTTTGAAGGGTAGTTCCTTCCCAACTATCCATAAGTATGTCGGCAACGACAGAAGATATTGGTGATCTCATGGCTGTTTATCGAATCAACACCAAATACATGCAATAAAAAAGATTCTGCACCTGTCCCACTTACATGGAAAATTCTACTATCTTAAAAAAGGAGAGAGGATTAGAACTATGTAGACCATGTTTCAAAGTTTTGAAGTTACCTGATATGAACATGGACAATAAATTATATCCGAAACGTTATCCAGTAAATGATACTATTTCACTGCGTGACATTTCTAATAAACAGACTAAAATAGAACTGTTATCTACCACAATGTCCAAATTTTATTTCTATGCAATTTATTGTTCATATTCGTATCAAAAAGGGATATGAACAACAATAAACTGTACTCTAAACGTCATCCTTTGTGTTTCACTTTGAAAATATCTAGTAACCAAATAAGTATATGTGCAGTGTTAACCCTTTTCTTATATCACGCTGATTTATCATCATTTTCTCCACTTCCTCTGTTTGATGTAGCATAGTTTCCGTACTGTAACCAACAATTATGTCAGAAATATACGGCTAAGTTGATTTGACCAGTTACTTGAAGAAATTACCTCCACTCCCTTTGCTACAAAAGTAGAATAAGTAAATTTTTATATTTGTATCTGTAAAGTTTCCTGCGTACATTTCAAGCGACCGCAGCATCCCCATTTAATAGGTATCTGTCAAAAATACAGCAGTCATGAAGAATCCTTAGTAATTGAAGTAAAATTAGAACCTGGTTAACAGATGTTTCGTAGCTCAGTCGGTAGAGCACGGGGTCGGTTACCGAGAGGCTACTGATTCGAATCCCACCGATACCCAGGTTTTCACTTCCTCTTCAATCGTCACCGATATTCACAGTACCAATCTGGCAAACCACAGCTATCTCAAACACTGTGATTGAGAATTCTACAATTTTCAGCGTTAACGCAATGAAATAAAAGTTGAATTATCGATTTAACACTGACTACAAGGAATAAAATATAAGTGAGACACCCCCCTAGTCAACCTCTCTTATTTTAACATTATATATGATTTCATGCTTCGATTGTTACTAATGATGACTAGTGGCTAGCAGTGGAACCTAAGATACACGTTCCGTCCTATTTAGAACTCGTTGCCTGGATGTACCTGCCTCCTGATGAACGCTGTTATTCCCAATAGGATTCGAAGTCAGGACCAATCGCTTCAAAAGCCCCAGAGCGTTATCCACCAGACTATCGAGTCACGGTGGACACTTCTTGTGACCGATGGTAAAGTGGATAACGCTCTCGGGCTTTTGAAGCAATCGGTCTTGAGTTCCGTCACTGGGAGGCAGGTACATCCAGCTGATGAGTCCCAAATGGGACAAAGCGTGCGTCCTAGGTTCTGCCGCTAGTCATCATTAGTATATAATCCAAAGATAGACAATATCGAGGCATCCGAGCAGGAGCTCATATGCCATTAGAGACTGACCAATTCGGTCCACTTAACGACGGGATAATACAAGCATCAACATTAGATACTTACTATCCTCTAGATATAAAGACTAGGAGATTGAGTTGGTAACTACAGCGTATAAAAAGAAATGGTAACTACCCTGATATAGAAAGTATGGTGAATGTTACTTCGTTGATAAAATACGTTAAGGTCATATGAAGAAAACATCCACTGTAACACTGATATATCATATTAGTGACCAGTGAAAATCTACAAGTTTTAAACAGAACTTTTATCCAATATTGAGTCTTATCAGTATTACACAAATACAAATTCTGTCAGCCACAAATTCACATATTAGTGTGTGACTGACTTTAAAATGTTTACGTCATCGTAGCTATAAAACAAAGTGACTTTCCATTTCATTTCCCATATACATGACGCATGACACTTATTTGTGATTCGTTTCATCGCGTTAAAAGATAAAATGAAAAGAACTCATATAAAGTCTCTTGATTTTATCGTCATATTTTTTCATGTGTTGATTCATACATGAAACTAGGTAAATCATTATGACTGAATGAAGTTACATTGTGATTGATTTAGATTGATGAATATTTTGAAATTGCCATGACTTTGATAAGAGGGTTATCATGAGATTTTTTAAGTCACTAATACCTCTGACGAAGCACGTGATCAATCCTGTATTCAACTACTACTTCTTGAGTGGCCCAAAGCGCCACAGTAACAATGACTGAAATAACCAATTAGCTTTCTTTATTTTAGTGGGAAAGGCAAATTTCCAAAAAATAAAGAAGTTTGATTAGGTTATTGCTAAGGTGGACATTAGAGTCACTCCTAGTTCTTGTATGACAACTGCAGTGATTTTAAAGGTCACCCTAACAACTGCTAAGATAACCAATTGCTTTCCGCTATTTTGTGAAAAACTATCTTATGATCTATAGTATACATAAAGATACAGTGCTCCAACGCGATACGATTAACGACAAAACTATGACTTCTCAACTCGATATTCAGCTGACACCAGAAGAAGACGATGGGGCTGAAAGAATAGTTATCTCAACTGAATAATTTCATAGCTGAAAACTCACTCGTTTATTGTCCTTAGATAGCCTTGGACAGGGAAAACAGATAGCATATCAAAGTTTAAAATGGACTAATCAGCCTTTAGTGGCCTAAACTACAGTGAAAATAAGTCCCATCGCATGGCGCGAAGGTGCACGAAATGTTTAGACTTTACATGATAATAATACACAACTTAGTATGCCTTAGCGATTAGGCATCTCTAACACGCCTTCACAACTGAAATAGCGAAACTTGATCGGTTATCTCAACAGTTGCTAGGATGGTCTTTAAAGTTGCTCCAACCTCATGATTGAATCTAAGGTCATCCTAGTAACCGTTAAAATAACCAATAAGGTTTCCCTATTTTGTCTGGAAAGGTAATTCTTCAGAAAAGGAAGAAAAGTAGTTTGTTATTGTACTAGTTGCTACAGTGGTCATTACAGTCACACCACTTTAGTATTTGCGACCTGAGTCATGTGCATTTGCGTCTAACTAATAAGCTAGTGACGTACTACAGTTAACAAATGTGAAGTATCTCTTTTTATACATAGAAGGCAGAATTAAATACAACACTTTTTCCGTTTGACATGCGGTTATTTCGAAACCGAATACCGTGTGAAAATAAGAGGTGTCAAGTCAAAGCTCTTAAAGTGAATTATAAAGCAGTACTACAAAATAAGTCCTAGATAAAACTGCTTGTATGAAGTTCATATTTCTCTCTCCTCAGTGGACACAGCACAAATGTATGCAAGAGGTTATTTTTTGACCTAATTACATCATCGTAGACAATCTAGTACTAATATCTTGTGAATGTAAATTCTGTAATCAAGTCAAACTCTGAATATGTAACAATTAGATGCAGAGTAAACTAGTGTGTATACTTGATTAACAGACTTCAATCAGCACTTGGGTCTTAATGGCGAAATTGGTAACAATCTGGTGACCGATTGATATGTACTAAGACTAGTAGAAAAAAACGAGCCATGTCATCATAAATGAATGAAAGAATTACAGAATAGACCAAAATCCTTCATTCTGTACTCTTTAAGATATTCTTCAGCATAACTTTGTCAAACAGTTATGCGCTGAACTGAATGCTTCACTTATGAACTCTTCATTGTCTGCTACACTGTAGACATAAGGAATTTGAGGGATACAACTGCGACATCAGTACTACTGCTGTTAAGTGTAGAATTCTAAATGAAGAAGACAAGGCAGTGGAAATCACTGAGAAATACTACTGACTGAAGTAGCTGAGAAATGTGTTATTTATTTTTAGTTAATCATAGACAAGGTAAACCTCGCCTGGTTAACTAGTTACTAGCCGGTCCTAAGCCAGCAGAAAGAGGGAAGGTTGGGCATAGGGCTAGCAACCCTACCCCGTAAAACAAATCTAACCGCTAAAGAAACTTCAAAGCACAAACAAAATATAAAAAATGAAAACAAACTTATTCCCCGCTGGAATCGGAGAGGCGAAATGACGCCAGTTGGTGAA